GTTCTGACAACCAAAACCATGTTCTGACGACATGAGCCCGATGCACGAAGCCAAGACAGCATCAGCCAGCAGCGTCTGAGAAAAACTCGCGGTTGCCACAGAAGATTATTGGACCATTCTCTGGTGGGCCTGTAGGAAAGCCACGACGCTTCGCCACTGCTTGACTAGAGGCCTCCTAGATGGGGTCCGAGTAGATGGGGTCAAAAAATCGCACCGTATCGCCAATGCATCGGCGACGTCGGTGGATATTATCGGGTTCCACGTCGAACCGCATCGCCGATGCGTCGGCAATGCGGCGCGATTCTCCCACCCCATCTATTCGGACCCCACTTGGGAGCCCTAGCTAGAAGAAGAAAAAACGCCATAAACATGAATGCTTGGCGCTCCGCGCAGATTTCTTGGATCTGCGCTGGCCCCCCCCCCTGGCGCGCGGAGCGCGCCAGAGGCGGCGCTGGAGGCACCGCCAAAGGAGCCAAGCGCGGATCCAAGCAGTCCGCGCGGAGCGCCAAAAATCTGTTCCTGGCGTCTTTTCTCCTTCGACTAGATTGACCCCCCCATCCCAGCCACGACGAGAGCGTTGGACGAGCTTCGGGCCACCAGGGGAGGCCACGACCAGGGAGCGGCCCCGTCACGGCCACGGGGCCGCGACCACGGAGACCCCGGGCCGCCCCGCGACCCGCAGCCACGGGCCGCGGCTGGAGACCACGACCCCAGACCACGAGCTGCAGTTTTGAGATCGCGCGATGCGCCAACCGGCCGCACATCTGCATTGTGTAAGGAGGTTGACGACCGAAGGGTCGAACCTACTAGATTTCCCGTAGATAGAGGAAGGCTAGGGAGAAGGTCGCGAGCCCTTTCCCCATGCGCCGCGGACAGGCGGCGCTGTACCTAATACCAGTAGCTGAGCCAAGACGTCGGCAATAGATAAGGATGGAATGGTGATATGAGCGGACTTCACACACCTGTAAAATGTGGTGGCCCTTCCAGGCAATCTTTCCGTCAGCGGCGAAGCGGCGAACTCCGCTCCAGCGAGAAGCTAGAGAGAAGCACTGACTGGCGAGTTGGCCGACGGGCAAAGAGGGGGCTGGGGGGGCGGCTGAGAGGAAGAAGGGACGCTCAGACGTCAAAGAGTTCGTGGCCCTTCCAGCCAAGCTGCTCAGGAACAAATGCATCACCCGAAAGAGGTCCAGACTTCTGGGGAGCCACGCTCTGGATGCAAAAAAACGGCGCCAGATGCCTGGGCCCCTATACCCCATCCACCACCCCCACGGCGACAACACAGCCAAAAACCGACCGAGCCGACAGCGAAACCGCAACCGACCGAAACTTACGGGCCACAGGTAACCTGGAACAGCGAAGCGACGCAGCAGCGACACAACAGCCGACCGAACCGAACAGACCGAATGAAACCGACTGCAACGCAGCCGAACCGACCGAAGTGCAGACACCTTAGGTCCTCCACCTCCCACCCCATGGGCTTCGGGTTGACAATGGCCCTCGCTGATGACTCCGCGCAGCGCGAATGGTATACGTCAAGACCGCCGATGGACACTCCAGCAGGGAACGACAAGGGAACGGAAGCAGGAAAGGAAGGGCAAGGGCTCACCCTCCCTCCCCTCTCTACCCCTCCACCCGTTCCTCCGCCACCCTACCCCACGCCACGCGCGCGCGCGGAGCCCTCACCAACGGGCCATCGGGTCCGGCGGCGGAAGTGATCGCGGCGAGGGCTGCCAGGACCGTGGGGCTGGCTTGGAGCCCCCGCCATGCAGACGCCCCTGCAGGATGCCACTGATCCTCTCGTCCACGACGGGCGTGTACTCCCTGGGAGGAGGACACCGACTACACACCTGCACCGACCCTGGCCCGGCCCGGTGCAGATGTGCAGTTGGCGCCCCCGGCCTGGTGGTCGCGTGGTGGCCCCCGAGGACGAAGACGCTGCTCTGCAGGCTGGCCTTGGAGATGGCGTCCCGCTGCTGCGCCGCACAGCCCTTCGCAGCGGCCGCCTCCCAGAGGCGAGCGGTGCCCACTTCCACGGCGCTCGAGCGGACCTCCTCCCGCGCCTGCGCCCGCGACACCAGGCCCTCGCAGTCCTGGCGCAGGCCGGCGAGGACCTGCTGCGCGCAGGTCTCGTCCACAGTCAGCCGCGCGGAGGCCATGCCCAGCCTCTCCCGGGCCACCTCCTCGGCCCTGGCCTTGCGGGCTGCCTCGAGGTCGACCCTCTCGCGGCAGAGCTCCCTCACCTGACGCAGGCAACGCTCGCACACCACCGCCCTGCCTGGCCCAGGCCGCCTCGGGCCCCCGGCATCGTGTGCAAGCCCAGGGCGGCTCCGGCCAGGCACGGCGGTGCTGCCTTTTTCGGCGGAGCACCTGGGCGAGGCGGCCCCGCGCCGCCTGCACCTCCGCCTCGCAGCGCTGCCGCACCTCGAGCTCCCTGGCGCCCAGCGCCTCCTGCGCGGCCGCCTCCCGCTGCTCGGCACGGGCGGCCTCGCCGTCCGCCTCGGCGTCGAGCGCGGCCCGCCGCGCGGAGGCCCGCTCCTCGGCGGCCGCCGCGTGCTCCCAGCGAACCGCGGAGCCTTGTCGCGCCCGCTCGAGCAGTGCCTCCACCTCCGCGGTGTGGGCCTGCTCCTGCGAGAGGGCGCTCCGCCACCGTGCCTTCAACACGCAGAGGCCCCCTAAGCGGCCACCCCAAGGCCATCCAAGGCCCCGCCACAAGGGACCCCAGAAGGCCTTCCAGAGGACTCGGAAGCACGGTGGCGGGGCGGGCCAACGCCACTAGGCACGAGGATCGATCCCTGATCCTCGAAGATCGATCCCCGATCCTCGAAGACCCGCCCGCATTGGAGCTCTCAGAGGCTCAGCAGCCAGCTGTCAGTGCTCCAGGAATTGACCTCAAAAAGGTTTTCGAGGGCCCCTCCCCGCCCCCAGAAAGGCGAGTGCACAAATCGAGGGCCCGCCCTCGGCTCGACGATACCCCACAAGGCCCCTGGGGACCCCTCCCAGGGCGCCCCCCCCAAGTGGCCACCGGCATGCCCCGCAAGACCCCGCCCCAGGGGGCCCCAAGGGGCCTTCTGGAGAACTCTAAGGCAAGGTGGCGGGACGGGCCCTGAGGCTCCCCAGCCAGTTGTCAGAGTTGACTTACTCGACATCAAGGATCTCGAGGGCCCCGACCCTGAATTTCCATGCCGTTCTTGAGATTTCCCGTGAGCTCTGCGGACGCTGAACCAACCCAAATCTACCCCCAGAACCCCTAGGAGGGCACCAGGAGGTCCCCCAGACGGTCCATGCGCGCCGCGAGACGGCCCAAGACCGCCCCAAGACGCCCAAGGTAGCCTCAAGACACCCCAGGAGGCCCCCCAAACGTGTGATGCCCATTAGGTTTTCGAAAGTTTGCTGTATGCTCGCACTTCTGAGATTCCGACGCTCCAAGACGGCCCAAGAGAGCCTCAAGACCGCCCCAAGATGGCCAAAGGAGCCCCAAGACTACCCAAGAAAGCCCCAGGAAGGGGAACACGAACTGACATCAAGCCCTCCGAGCCAAGATGGCCCTCGAGACCGCCAGCAGGCCCCTCTGAAGCTCGCAAGAAGCTCCAGGCAGCTCGCAAGCGGCCCCACAGAACCCCAGAGAGGCCCCAAGAGGCACGCGAGAGACACGAGAACACCACAAACTCCTCCTCCTCTCCTCCTCCTCCTCCTCCTCCTCCTCCTCCTCCTCCCTCCTCCTCCTCCTCCCTCCTCTCCTCCTCCTCCTCTCCTCCTCCTCCTTCTTCCTCCTCCCTCCTCCTCCTCCTCCTCCTCCTCCTCCTACCCCCTCCTCCCCCCCCCCTCCCCCCCCTCCCCCTCCCCCCTCCCCCTCCTCATCTCCTCCTCTCCTCCTCCTCCACCTCTCCTCCTCCTCCTCCTCCTCCTCCTCCCCCTCCTCCTCCTCCTCCTCCTCCTCATCATCATCCTCCTCCTCCCCCTGCCGCCTTGAGGCTTCCGAGAGGCCCCCCAGGAGATCCCAGCAGGCATCAAGGAAGCCTATGACCCGCAACCTGGGCGCCTGGGCGCGTGGCAGGATGGCCCGAAGATGCCCCAGAAGCCACCAGAGAGGCCCCAAAGGACTCATCCCAGGGGGCCCCAGAGGAGGCCCCCAAAGAGGTCCCCAAGCGGCCAGCAGCAGGCCCTTTCAAGTGTCCCCCAAGGGACCCCAGGAGGCCTTCCAGAGGACTGTGAAGCATGGTGGCGAGGCGGGCCCAAGGCCGCTAGATACGACGATCGACCCTCGATCGCCGAAGATCGGGCAGTTTGGCTCGGTTTCGAAGTTTGGGTATCGCCTTAGCGCCGCGCACATTCGTTTTCAACATGTCCCCGAGTTTCACTGATTTTCATGGCTAACGCAACAGCAACGGCGTTCTGGAACGATTCTGGATTGTCAGGGCGCAACAGTTACGTTGACTCGCGATGTTCAAGTCCCAGGAATGGGGTCCTGGCACGATTCATAATGGCCAAGACCTGAGAAGGGTGTTTTGGCACGCTTCAACATGGTCACACGATTGACCCCATCGGGGCAATTCCCTCAGTGGAGATGACCCTTATCAGGGGCATGTGAAGAAGGATCTTGGAGGTAGAGTGTATTTCAACATCGTTGATGAGTCTTGGGTTTCAACTGGTCCTCGTCCTCCTCCTCCTCCTCTTCCTCCTCCTCCTCCTCCTCCTCCTCCTCCTCCTCCTCCTCCTCCTCCTCCTCCTCCTCCTCCTCCTCCTCCTCCTCCTCCCTCCTCCTCGGGGGCCTCTGGCGGCAGCCTCCAGAACCCTCTTGAAGCCTGCAGCCGTTGGGGAACTCTGCACAGCTTCTGTGGCTCCAAACGCGTCCAGGAGCATGGGGGGGCCCCGCGGACTCCTCCACACGGGTCCTCAAGAAAATGCAAAGGGTCATGCACCCTAGTCGCGCCCCGACTTCCCACTACCGCTGCCAATGATTGGACATGCACGACTTCCCATATCTCGAAAACTTCAACGAAGAAGTGAAACCAACGCGCAATGAACCCCTCAAGGCCTTGAAGGCGATGCGCATCCCACTCGCAAAAGCGGCAGGGGGTATCGGGCCAATATTTGGGGCGTCCTTGGAACCAAGAAAGCCTCAGGCGCCAACCGTAGCAAGACTTTGGCGAAGCTGGGCCACGGAGCCTCGCCCCCCAGCGATCTGCAGGACGTGGCCGATTTTCCTTCCGCGCACGCAGGGCAAGATAGCACCTCCGAGCTAGAGACGGACGCAGGGAGCATGGACGCGCAAAGCGGCGCGGCGTGGGGCAACTCAAGCGAAAGAACGCGGACTGGGCGAGCTCACGCAGCGTGGACAAGCTGGATCCGCCCAGTGGGGATCGACAGCAACACTCGCGAGGGGGCTGTCGCGAGCGGAGTGGGCACCTGCAGGCCCACCTTCGGACTCAGGACACCCCTCCCCCCCACGAACAATGACATAAACTCCGCGTGGGACCCCCCTCCCTGGCGCGCGGAGGGCGCAGGGTGCGGCGCCGGAGGCGACGCCAGGGGGGGCCCCGGCGCGGATCCGAGGAATCCGCGAGGACCTCCGAGTTTTTCCCAAGCAGAGCTTGCCTCTGTAGGGGTCCTACGTCGCCGATTTCGGTGGCCCGCCCGGGTGCCCGGGTGCCCACGGGTGCCCGGAAATGCCCCCGGGTGCCCGGAGGTGCCCAGGGGTGACCGGGTGCCTAGGTGCCCGGGTGCCAGGGTGTCTTGGTGCCCGGTAGCCCTATAGCCCTATAGACCTACAGCCTCATAGCCCTATTGCCCTACAGCCCGAAAGCCATATAGCCCTAGAGACCCATAGCCCTATAGCCCAAATAACCCTATAGCCCTGTAGCCCTGTAGCCCTATAGCCCTCATAACCCTATAGCCCTGTAGCCCTTTAGCCCTACAGCCCTACAGCCCTGTAGCCCTAATAGACATATAGCCCAATAGCCCTAATAGCCCTATAGCCCTATAGCCCAATAGCCCAATAGCCCTATAGCCCTACAGCCCTATAACCTCATAGCCCTATAGTCCTGTAGCTCTGTATCTCTATAGCCCTATAGACCTATAGCCCTATAGCCCTTTAGCACTCTAGCCCTATAGCCTTATAGCCCTATTCCTCTATCCTTCATATTATAAGGGAATACCCCCCCCCGGATGGGCATCACAGTGGCTAGAACGGCCCAGGAGAGCCACCCGGACGGCTCAGAAGGCCCCCCGAGGGTGTCTGGATCGGCGCGCGATGCTCCCAAGACTGCCCCAAACAGGCTGAAAACGGCTCCAGAGGGCCCAAGCGGGCTCCAACAGTGCTCAAGACGGCCTCAGTTAGCTCCGCGACGGTCCAAGAGGCCCCCCAGACGCCCTAAGAAAGCTCCACGAAGGTCCAGAAGAAAATCCAAAAGGCCTCCGAGACGCCTCCCATGAGAGCCCGAGAAGCCAAATTCATTAATTTTTTCGATAGTTTTGGCAGGATTCAAGAGTTCTCGCTTTCCCGCTCCCCGACACCCCAAGACAGCCCAAGAGGCCCTCGACATCGCCCCAGGCCGGCCCAATAAGGCTCCCCATCGCTCCAACACAGCCCAAGATGTTCCCAAGACGGCCCCAAGACGACTCCGGATAACCCCCGAACGGCCCCAAGACGGCCCAAGAGGCATCGAAGACGGCCGAAGAAGCCCATAAGACGGTTCCAAGAGGAGGTACATACGGGGTACCCGAACGGGCTTTTCTCGCCCTCGGCCCCGAGAGACCCCCAGGAGGCACCACGAGCTCCCAAGAATCTCCCAGGCGGCCCCAAGACCCCCCCTAAGAGGCCGCAGGGAGGCCCCCAGGAGACCCCGAAGGGGCCCCAGAACGGTCCCACAGATGCTTCAAAGCTGCTTCTCAGAGGCCTCAGGAATGGCAGCGACGCTCGTCGTCGTAGTCGTCGTCTGTATCGTCGTCGCCATCGCCGTCGTCATCGGATGCTCCACGTTCCTTTATTCTCCACCTTGCAGCGACTGACGTTAGATGACACAAGCATTCTGTATTCTCACGAGTGTGACCACTTTGTTCCATGAGGCGACCCGCTCTGCATTCTGACCCACGTCTTCGGTAGGGCAGACACGACAGGGGCACCACATGAGGAGAGGAGGAGGAAAACGAGGAGGAGGAGGAGGAGGAGGACCGAAGGGATTCACGAGAGGAAGAGGTGAAGCGGAGACTCTGGACACACTGCCTCCGGCAATTTTGCCGCCGTGCCACAGGCCTCAAGATTCGCAGGACGGACGTCGACGGCTCGGGAACCCTCAGGACGTGATCTCCGCCGCCGCGCCACGGGCCTCGGGGCTCGGGAGAATGGTCTCCAAGCTCCCAGAACCCCAAGAACACCCCCGCATATCCCCTATACATTTGAAGAAACGCCGAAGTTGCCCAAAGAGGCCCAACGAGCCCCCAATGCTTTATACAACTCTCGAGCGTCCTCCAAGAGACCCCCAAAAGCTTCTCCAAGGCCACGGGCCCCGAGACACTCCGAAGAAATGCCCAAGACGTCCCGAAGAGGCCCCACGACCTCGCCATGCTCCCCAGAACTCTCCAGCGTCTTCAGACACCCCCGAAGCCTCTAGGCAGCCACGCGTCCACGCCCGAGCCGATGCTTCCCACGGGGGTACTGCGGACACCCATCCGGATCTGTACGCGTCCGTCGAGATACTAACAAAGGTAAGAGAACCCCAGGAACAGATTCCAAGAGGCTCTCGACAGGTTTCCCCAATCCCCACAATAATATTCCACCTGCCCTTCCTCTTCACACCTCCACTGTCATCCCAATCACCTCCTCCGCCTCATCTTCATTCCCCTTTCCCTCTCTCCCTTCCTTATCCTTCTCCCAGCTGTTCAAAAGAAGCACGTTCTACTTTCTGCTTTTTTTCAATGCCCCCCTGCGGGGTGCCTCCAATCCACGACCTCCAACCCATTCCTTACTGGAGTGCTAGCCGGGCTCAAGCCGTTCTCTCCTCGGAGGCATGCCTCCCCCAAAAAATACACTCCAGTGCGCCGCTTGCCAGCGACGCCTTCCTCGAGATGCGTTCTCGAGCACGCAGGTGCGGCGGGCCACATGGAAGTGCAGAACCTGCGTTGCTGATGCCTCGCAACGCAGCGGGGCAAGCCGCGCAGTTCACGCCGGACTCTGCGCGCAGTGTGGCAGCGTGGACTTCTCTGAGATATGGGGCGCATTGCGCTCGGAATGGCCTGCGCCGTTCCGCCAACGACCCACGGGGAACCCAGGGAGGCCGGACTGGAGGGGGAGGAGGAGAGGATACACAGGCAGACAGAGGGACGGGGAGCGAGGAGCAGGAAGATAAATACACATACGAAGCAAAGCAAGGCACGTTTGAGCAGCGCTTTCAGAAGCGCAACCACGTTGTATCCACAAAACCTGAGAAGCTACAGCGTTCTTTTCAAAAGAAGCAACGACGGCACATTGCTTCTCACGAATATGCGGCGCGAAAGTCGCGCACTCTACCCTGCGCGCCCGCCCATGCTCCGCGGGCCGCAAGCGCAGGCCGAGTGCTCCAAGAAATGTGAACCCCAGGCAAAGGAGCAAGATTGAACGGCGAAGCGGAGCGATCCTTAAAATCTTGTAGTCCTATAACCCTATAGCCCTATAGCCCTATAGCCCCATACCCTATAGCCCTATAGCCCTATAGCTGTATAGCACTAGTAGCCCTACAGCCCTATAGCCCTATAGCCTCATACTTAGGCGTAACGAAAGTTTCCTTGGGAACACGGAAGACCTCCAGACGACCAAGACAGAATGCCTGGGCGGCCCGATGGCCCAAAGATGGTTCCACGACGGCCTCAGACGGGCACAAAGATGACCCCGGGGCGACCCCAAGAAGACCCCGTGGTCCATGCAGGATCCAGACGCAGCGTCGAAATGGCCGGGGGGCGAATCCAAGATGGCCCAAGATGTGAGCGATGCCCCGGAGACCAGACGCGGTGGCCCCAGAGCGACCCCGAGGTAACCGGAGCAATCCGAGAGTACAACACCATGGTCTCAAGAGGACCTGGAGAGGATTTCAAGATGACCTCAAGACGACCCGAACACGTCGTACGTTCGCGGGATTGGGTCCCACCGCGGAATTTATCCGGACCCTATTTTCATGGGTGGGATTTATGGTTGGCTGGACTAAAACTGTATCATTAAAGGGGGAACCACTCGCCAAGGATCCCGCCGAGATCACGCAAGAGGGGTATCTTGCTAGGCTTCTAGGGGGAGAGGGGGTTCAACGCATCCTGCCCCTCAACCACATCGGGGCTGTTGCCAAGAGGGCTGCAACGTAGGCGAGCACACAATGCCATCGGGCCCAATTCAGAAAACTCAAGGAACTTTCGGAGCGGCGATGTAGCCCTATAGCCCGAATTATCCTGGCGAAGGACCCAACCATATGCAATTGTGAATACTGCAATTGTGAATATCTTCTCGGTGGAGCCCCCTACGGGGCCACGAAACGTACGAGGGGTGTGCCGAAATGGGAATGCGGGACGCATGCGGGCACACCCACTGGGGCCTTCGGTGGAGCTCTCTATGGAGCCAAGAAACGTGTGAGGGGTGTGCCGAAATGGGTATGCGGGACGCATGCGGGCACACCCACTGGGACCTTCGGCGGAGCTCCCTATGGGGCCACGGAACGCGTGAGGGCGTGCCGAAATGGGTGTGGCTGACGCATGCGGGCGCGGGCACTGGGGCCTTCGGCGGAGCTCCCTATGGGGCCACGAAACGTGTGGGCGCGGGCACTGGGGCCTTCGGCGGAGCTCCCTATGGGGCCACGAAACGTGTGAGGGGTGTGCCGAAATGGGTGTGGGTGACGCATGCGGGCGCGGGCACTGGGGCCTTCGGTGGAGCTCCCTATGAGCCACGAAGCGTGTGAGGGGTGTGCCGAAGTGGGTGTGGGTGACGCATGCGGGCGCGGGCACTGGGGCCTTTGGCGGAGCTCCCTATGGAGCCACGAAAACG